TGCCTAGCTTTCGTCCCAGTCCCTCCCCCGCAAGTTGTCTTGGGCTATGGCTACAGGGCACGTCCTTGCTTTGAAGGATCTCCAGAGTGGCCTCGGCCAGACCTGCGTGGTCTTGATTTGGGCAGCTTAGACAGTCTCGGCTTTGCGAAGTGGGAGTTTCGGGACTGCATTTGGGAATTGCCGAGATTTGGTCCTCTAGTGGCTCCTGGCATAATTTCACTCATCGGCATGCCCTTGCATTCTGGCTCTGCAGCATTCAGCTTGTCTTGGAGCCGGAACTCCAGCTTCGTTTGGAGCCATGGATGCACCATCCCTGAAACCATGGCAGCTTGGTCCATAGACAAACGAAAGGGTCTGCCGAATAGGCACCTCTTTTTCCAGCACACTGTGCAGGTTTCCGGCTGTTGCAGGAACTGTTGCTGTCTTGCATTGGGTTGGAGAACTTTGCTGAGCTTGACTTGCATAAGTGCGTGTCTGCAGCATTCTGCAGCAAGCATCATGTGTGAGTTTCCCTGTTTTCCTGTGCTGATGAACAGTTGTCCCACAAGTAAACCGCGGGGTGGAAAAAGTCACTGCTGAGAATCAGGCTGGACATTGCGATTTGCATCTCGTACATCTCCATCCCATTGCAGCTGATCTTCATGGCAACTCGAAAAGTCCAAGCTGTTGACTTCAGGACGTCAGTGATCCATGTTGTGGGCCACTGCAATCTATCATGGAAGCATCCCTGCTAGGGTCTGGAGGGGAAGTCGAAACAAAAGTTCAAGAAATTATGTGACAGCACTTGGCAGGAAGATTGCAGGAAGCATGACGAACGATGAGCTGGCCACAAGCCGGTTGCTGCTCTTCGTGCTGCCTGCTTTTGAAATTTCAGAGTGTTTTTCCCTGTGCACGCTCCAGCAAGTACTGGGCTCCGGAGGCTACCTGAGGACGAAATTTTGTTTGGCACTCTTTTGTAACCGCAAGACCCCAAAATTACAGGTGATTCATGTCCAATGATTCCCAATGATTGCAGTTGTGGACCTGTCTCACACAGTGTACACATTCCAGTATGGGAAGCCACGCAAGCTCTCAACTTTTGCAGAGATTGTCGAAGCCACGTGCTCTCCAGGTTTGCTCTGTTCATTCTTTGTTGCGGATTTGGCCATGGAATCCATGCACAAAAGGCAGAGAGACTGTTGGCGCACGGAGTGGCATGCCCTGTTTGAGAGGCTGCCAAGTATCCGTCGTTTTCTCATGCCGTCTTTTGCGGCAGGCCTTCAGCCCGGAGTCTTTGATTAACGTGATGGAAGCACCTGTGCACATCATGACCGCTGTAGTAAGCATGGTTGCCGCCCGGCCGCAAACAGATGTAGCGTCCGGAGAGCGGTGTGTCTCAGTTTGCTTAGTCCTCGCGGTCAGGAGTCCTGCGTGATCGAACTTGCAGATCGGTGGCAGGTTAAATACTCGTGCACAGCATCGCAGCTAATGCCCTTGAAGAAGTAGGCAAATTCTCAGTGACGGTAATGCGGTTGGCATCATCGGCCTCCATTTACATGTCTCGTTCACACAGTCCCAATGGCGTCAGGCGACAACACTTCTCGCCGTCAGCATTCCAAAGAAGCTTGGCAGAGAGAGCCAGACCTTGTGCTAAGATTGCAGAATCAAGATGCAGAGTCTGCCTGACAGGTCGTTCCTCCTGAATATGCATTCTCGACACACCCGTATAATGTTTCAATGTGGTGTATCTCTACATATATACATACATATATGCATATATATATATATCTGTTTATGATAAATATGTCTATATATACATTTATAGATAGATGTGTATATATACACATACTGATTGAGACAGGGAGCTTTTGCCGGATGAAAACAACTCAGAATCTAGTTTCAGCTTACGCTTCCCGGTTCCCATGGCTGTCCACCAAGCAGGACTTGGCATGCACGTGCTATGATTCTGAATTATTTGTCGTTAACCCGATGTGCAGAGGTGCGCAAGGTTCTTTGACTCCATCGAGATCCATCGAAAAGGCTACCTCAAAGTTGTCTTGGAGGCAGGCGCCTGAGTATGTCACGGCAGGGACCGCCCAATTCATTGGAGCATGAAGCCTTTCAGAAGACACAGACATGTCAATATTGCAGAGTCAAGGACATGGAGCCGGGTCGAGCTGGTGGAAACATGACTTCTGGGCGCCCCGAGGAGGCTGAGAGAGACGCCTGGCGCGGTTTTAGACAACTGCGACGGCACGTTGGAGGTGCTGTCGACAAAGATTGTCAGTGTGCAGTGCATGGACTTCAGTAGGCAATGAAGGGTTAGCATGTTGATGCAGTGCTTCTAGCCTACCGCCCACGGCGCGCAGTGTGCCCTATTATCCGGCCCAGCCGTAGCCCTTGCCTGAGCCCCAGCTGCCAGCCCTCGAAGCCGAAGGCTGTTGCTGCTAGTATACATCCGAAGCTTTGATTCTCCATAAGGACCTACGAAACAAGGTGGCGGTGCTCGAGAAGTCACTGGGCATGAGAATTTCGACCAGCAGGGCCTGGAAGCCACCAGCGCTTGCCCCCAAGCCTCGATCAAGCATCGCTCGAAGCAAGGCTTGTGCTCATGTGGAATCCCTCTCAGTCCATGACATGCAAGATCGTGCAAGCCTCAAGACCAAGGAAGCTGCAGAACTTGACCTTTGGACAGAGCGTGTCTCAGTCCGTCACACTCCAGCAATCAGGTGTTGCAACAACGCCGTGTAGACAATTTTTTTGTGAATTTGACTAGGGCTGGTCAACTACCTGGAAGTCTTGAGGTGCCGAACAAGGAAGGTGGCGAGGGTGTCGGATCAGAGGTCATCGACACGATTCACAACACCTGTTCAGAGCTGGCCCAGGAGTGTGCGGACGCGATTTACTGGCCACATTTCATCGCGTTGTTGTACAAGCAACTCTACATAGATGCAAAGAAACTAAGTGGGTTCGGATCTATATCTGTATCTCCATTCTTCGGCATACTTTTTTGCTTGTAGGCACCCGCGATGGTCAGAGCAGCACATGCACAAATAGAAAAAGGCTACACGGGGTATGAACAAGACACCTCAGTTCACCTCACTTCGCTTCACTGGCCTCTTGCGTACCATTGTGTAGCCAAATCCGACATATCCTCCTTCTATGTGTCTCCGTTCACGGGTAGAGTCTGGCAATGTTCGACTGCAACGAGGCCACCCCCAATGTAAACCGGCGAGCTACCGCGTTTGCCACCTCGCAGTGGAAATCGGCACGAGAGTTGTAGTTGTAGCCTGATTCGATCAGACGAATACCGGATGTCGAAGCGAGTCATTGTTGGTCCACAGTGGGTGCCAGATGCTAATAGACAGGGGTTTCTGCTAGATACCGCTGAGAAAGCTCTGAATTGTGCGGTGGCTTGGCTTGGCTCGGGTCAGGCTGTTGGGGTTGGTGTGGCTTGCTCGGCTTTTTTTTTTACCGACGTTTCGGCGCAGGGGTTTGTGAATGGCGTATGGGGGCTTAAGCTGTCAGGGGAAAGGGTCGCAGAGTACTGCGCAGGAAGCAAACGGAAGCAATCTAGCAGGCGTTACGCGTAAGAAGGTGAGCTCAAGCAGTGCAGCAGTTCTGAGTTGTTCTGGGTTTGCAAGGGCTGATTTCAAGCCGCTCTCGGTTTACGAAAAATATGAAACGCAAGTTACGCTGGCGCGCCGCGAATAGGTTTCTATTTAGCACTGCCGCAAAATGAAGCCTAACGACATGCTGACTCAGGCTGATTTGACGTAGAGTTTTGAGGATTTTGACTCCCCAACCACGTTTGGGCTCGTGTCTCGGGGCAGGACTGACTTACCTATATACCTACATATTTGCATGCATACATGATGCAAACACGCATGCATGCATGTTTGTGTACATGAATGGATAGTTTCATAGATGCAGGCATGCATGCCCCCTCACTGACTTACCGCCTGACTGGCTGACTGGCGGACTCAATCACCTACTTGCTTACCTATGCACGCACATACATGGCTGCTTGTAAGCCGACATACCTGCCTGCCTACACACAAAAGCATGCAAAAATGCTTGCATAAGAATACGTACATTCATGCATACATGCGGACCATTGCGGACATACACACATCATACATCCGTGAATGACTTCATGGTTGCATGCATGCAGTCAGGCAGGCGTTGCATGCACTCATGCACGCATGCTTGAACACATCTTGATCCCGATGCACCGAGAGAGTTGGCCTGGCCTTTTTGTTGTACCACCATCGGCCACTGTTGTCAGTTGTCTCAAGGATGTATGTTGGTGTGTTCCAGAATTGGTGCTTGCGCTAGGTTTCAGCCGCCATCAGCATAGCTCCATGAGTCATGATCCATCCTCCACGATAAGAATACATACTCGCATGCTTACCGGCATAGTTTTGCATGCATGCGCTACATATGCTACTACGTACATCATGCACTACATGCATGAGGCATTCAACATGATTCCTACCGCAGGACCTGCAACCGCTGCCCAATCTGCTGGGTAGCTGCTTTGCCTCCAGCCGCATCTCAGCTGAGAATTTGCGGATGGTTTGCTTTTGCAGTTGTTTCATCATGCCTCATCAGATCGAGATGGGAGAGAAGTGAGAAGTGTGTGCATCTCGCTGCCCACCTCGGCAACATGCGGCGATATTGAGCACGGCTGGAGCAGAAATAAAGCGAATAGGAATGCGATTTAACATAACGCACGTCCAAAGCGGCAGCCTGAAGGTCAGAGTCCTCGTCGCGATCAGCTCAACCGCCTCAGCCAAACACAGATTTTGCAAATTATCTCGGCCACGTACGTGCTGCGAAAGGCCGGGCCAGCAACAGCAGGGTAGTGTGGACCTTGGCATTGTGGCACGGTCTGAAGGGTACTCGCCGTTGATCCTCCCTGATCGGTGCAGGCGCGACCAAATTGGGGAACCTATCCGGAGGAGACTTGGGGCGACTTCTGCAGCTTGCTCAAGCGCAACTTTGCGCGCATTGGTTGGTTTGTTTGTTTGTTTGTTTGTCGGGCTTCGTTGGGTTTGGTTTCGTTGGTTGGGTGGTGGTTTGGGTGGAGTGAGGCGGGCGTCACGGCTGCCAATGCAAGCATGTTGGTGCAGGATGTTCATAAGGGTACAGGTCTCTGAGTCGTGAACATCTGGCTCTTGCCTACCGCCCAGCCTCATCTGTTTCAGGTTGTGATGTACCTCCTTCCGAGCTTACACGAGAGCAGCAGTGGCTTAAAAGGGCAAGGATCGCATGGTGGGCCATAGGTGTCCACAGAGAGCAGTCAAGCCCAATTGAAGCACATGGCAAACCATGGCGAATGTGGTGCTGCAGAACGAGAGATGCACAGTGTACCGCCTGCAGCCCAGCACTGATCCCAGTGCCATGCCCACCAGTATAACGTTACTGGACGGGCCACTTCTTCTGATGTCTGCTGGTGGCACCTTACAGGAGGAGGTCTCAAGTTCGATCCTTCACGCTGCTCAGGGCAAGTTGCATGCTTGCTGGGATCCTTTCCAAACAGATGAAGTCAGGTTGCAGTGTGTAGATGGCACCTTCTATGCCGTGCAAGTTTACGCGTGTGCATGCACTGATTCCAGGGGACCTGAGAGCCTTGATCGCGGTGTTCGGACGGATGTTGGGACTGACCTCTTGATCGAGAATGAATTGGTTTGTGTTTGGGCCTTTGAGGTGGAAGCCGGGGCAGCGTGCCATGTGCATCGGCATGTACGCGACTACTTCTTCTTGAACATACTTTTGAGCGACACTCTGGCCTTGGACCAAAACGGAGAGCCCATACCCAGTGGGGTGTCACGACAAGAAGCCGGCCAAGTAACATTCGTTCATGTGAAGGGCCCACCATTTCCGGTCCATGGGCTTATCAATGTGGGTTCTGCGACGTTTCGACAGTTTGTAGTCGAATTCAAGCAGCCTCTATCGCGCAGATCGCGCCTTTGACCTCCATCGCAGCTGAGGAAAATACTGTTGATGAACCCTTTTTCTGATTTAACTTGGCACGAAGTCAGCGACCGAGCAACAAACCACATGCAAGCCGATTGCAATACCCCTGAACCCGGTTAGAGCCAATTTCTGGTTGTATGCCTCCCCCGGCCACCGGTGCTGCTCCCGGTTTGATTACAATTACTTGAGCATGACAGAAGTCAATGTAGCCTCGGGCATCTTTCAGGCATCCTTCGCAAGAAGTTGGCTTCGAGAGCCGGCATCGCCCCCGAGCTCTGGCTGGCTGCCCATCTGAAGTTAAGTTTGTGGATCGGTCTTCCGAAGCTCCTCACTGGAAGGTCCCATGTGCTTGGACCTGAGATGCCGAAGAAATCGCAAAATCGTTTTCTATCGGCTCGCAGCTGGGGATCTGAGAGGTCGTTGGAAGTGGGGTGCGCTTGTTCTGTCAAGACTTGAGGAGATTTGCGAGTGGTGTGCCTCTTTGACAAGCTCAGAGCTTCACAGCATCTTGGAGACCGTGCTCGCCTTTGCTGGCTCGCCAAAGAGTCATCATGTTGCGGCTCGGTGGCAGTATGCAAAGTCGGATTCCTACATGGTTCTTTCCAGAAGGGAGTTGCTCCCTTGGACCTGATTCACCCGGAGGTCCAAACATCCTTGAGTGAGCCACAGGATATTAAAAAAAATCAGTCTGACGATGCACTGATGCTTCATACACCGTTTATCGCAGGATGAGCTGCCTGTTGATACACCAGTGAACAATGCATATCCGACAATCGGCCATCAGGAGATTTGCATGGATTTCGCAGATGTATGTGATGTCAGCTGTCGGACGTCGTAGTACCTGCACAAGCTGTTTCATGTGCCTCAGAACATGTAAGCATGTCAGCAGTCTCCGTGACAAGAAAGCCTTTTGTTGAGCCCCTCTCATGTCGGACGTAGACTACGGAAATAGCGGCGTCCAAAAGGTTACCTGTTCGGTGTCCATGGGACAAGCAAGGAGAACATGTCCTTTCTCCTGGTAGGCTTATTCATGGCAGCCTGCCACGTGTTTTGGTTTTCTTTTGTCTCTGGCTTTTCTGCGGAGTCAGGTGAAGCTTGCCAATGTGCTCACAGCCGGAAAGCCACATCGGCAGCATTGGCCTTAGTGGAATGCAAATGCTGCACATTTAGTCGACTGCCGTGGTGATGCCGACGGGCTGCAGCTGGATAGGACCCATCATCGCTTCAATTGAATGTCGGCTGAGGCAGGACACAGTCTGAGTTGGTGTACATACGCTGGAGATCTGATGGTCTTCCCGGCAAGCACGGTGCCTGATGCGTGGTCGCCATCGGCGATTCAGCCGTGCAGCTTTGACATGGTGCAGTCAGAGTGTAGAAGAGTCTAGGTTTTGCCTTACATATCGTTGCGTGGATCAAGTACGTAATCCTATTGGCGACACCCGAGACACCGCGTGAAAAATCCGAACGGCATCGTTCACGAGCGAAGCAGCTTTCTTCCCGCGCAGCAGGCGTTCGTGTGCGGACGCACCCCAGCACAAAGGGGGAGGTGTGCGAAGCAACAGAAAGCAGGGACATTCGCGTTTGGGGGAAATATTCAGCACAAGCGGAAGAGAAGCGAGACTTCGCACATCCAACAGACGGAAGGGATGATTCATGCAAGCATCCACAAGAAGCTCAAGTCTGAGAAAATCCAAGCATCGATCGGACGGGATGACACCGGGATCTACTTGCCTAAACATGCCTGGATTTCCACAGAGTTGAAGAAGCTTGGTTGGAGCACGATGGGGGGTTGTGACAACCTTCCTGGTGTAGAGGAGGGTATGTGGATGCCAAAGGAGCACACGGGTCAGTATTATGCTGACTTGAACATGTGCCAGAAGGAGCTGGGATGTCTACAGTGGGTGTGCCTGCGTAGCAGACCGGATCTGAGTGCATATGTTGGCACATTGGCGAGTCTGCAAACACTTGATCCTGCAAAGTTCTTCAGCTATGCACTAGAGAGTGGAAGCAAGCTCATCGCGAGCTTAGCAAACCCTGAAAATATTGGGCCGCTAGGCAGGGAGTTCATGATGCCCCGCAAAGCATCCAGCGCCAGGCGGAAGAGGTGAGACATGACATTTGACAGAAGTGTTTTTTGCCGAAGCATCCAGAAGGCCAGAAGGATCCAGAAGGAGATCACGTCTGACACAAAATGAGGCGCTTGCTGCACGCGCACGCAGCTTCGGACAAGAGGGAAGCGATGCGGTCGGAAGCTCATCGATACATCCAGCAGAAGGCATTCGCAATCGACGAGCGGCTTAAAGTCCACATCGAACACAAAGCACCCAGCAGAATGCGTGAATTCTGTAATCAGAAAGCACGGTTGCGTGGGATGGAACTGGTGGTTTACAGCTGTTCGAAAAGCTGCTTTCCTGCATGTATATAGCTCATCCAGCAGCACTGGAGTTCATACTTAGCAGCGACGCCGTCGCGCGAAGCATCCATCTAAAGAAAGGAGGGTTAAAAGCCTAAATACGCATCCAACAGAGGTCCATATTCAAACACGGGGGAACTATGCGCGGCTTCCAGAAGCAAGGGAATTCACGTGCAACAGACTGCTCGACATCCAACATAGTTGGGATTTCCGTGTGAAGCTGAGACACTTCACTTCACTTCACTTCCGTGCAAGAGGGTCGAACCTGTGCAAGAAAAGGCGATGCGAAAAGCGCTGGTCGCAAACAACCAGCGCGCATCTGGACAAGCGGCGACTTAAAGGCCAACATGCAGAGCCGCCACCAAGAACCGAGGTGAAGGAGCACACCAAGGTGCTCAACAACACAACGGCCGCCATGGAGGGGCGAAGCAGGATGCCTCAGGCGGGCCCGCGAGCAAACCACGAGACCAACTATACATGCTGGTGGGGAGCAACCAGACGAACGAGGCGGGCATGCTCAACCCGGGAGCGACACAAAGTCTGAACAGCCGGCGGCACATTGGAGTGCAAGGCCAACAAGGTACCGGAGCCGATCCATGGTAGGGTGGAGACCACGGAAAGGCCGGGCACCCAAGCTTGCAGGAACTCAATCCATCAGGCCGCGAGAGCGGCGCCCGTCCAAAGCGCCGCTCTCCGCTGCGCCTGAAGGATAAGCAACCCAAGAGTGACCAGACGCCCCAGAAAAGACGACAGTAGGAGGTGACGAAGATCTGGTCGTTGTCAGCTGCAGAGCCGATCCAGAGTAGGTTCACTCCCAATGTGAGCAAGGCCACGAGGATAGACAGTCCCAGAGTTTGCCCCACCACAGGCAAAATGGATAACAATTGGCTCCAGTCAGCAAGAAGGCCACACAGGTGCAGGTAGGTCAGGCAGTTCAACGGCAGTGATCAAGTAAAGTCCCGAAAAGGGTGGCCGCGTCCTCCCAGGAAGACGGCCAGCAACGCTTCTCGGAAGAAGCTGGGGTCTGGTATATTGGAGTGAAACCCAAACTACAAGGTAGAACAGGGGCCACAACCAACTCGAGCCGAGACGCCTAAGCTGAGACACCCTAAATCCTAAATGCCAGAGACGTCGCATTCAATGCACGTAGAGGGAGTTGCATGAAAGATCCCAGTAGAGAGTTAGCAAAGCCTGCACACGCAAGGGAATTCACTTCAGACATTCGAGTGTCCGAAACATTTTCAACAGCTATGCGAAGCCTAAAGTAGGGAAGGGGTTTGCAGCAAACCCACGAGCCATGTAGTGAGAACCCCAACAAGGACTTAACCCCACCGCTCGTGGTAGATAAAGCTTGTTGACGAAATCCTCTGGGTGGTCACGTACCCTGTCTTTCCGTGCTCGTCAGTGCTCACGCGGCCATTCGTATCATCCGGAGGGAAAGAGGAAATCGTGGGTCGACAAATCACGAACCTGGTTGAGTGCTTGGGGTTGCAGTTCGATGGCCATCAGGTGCGAGTGGATGAGTTGATAAGTCAAACATAGCACAGCAATACAACAGAAATCAGCAAGGACTGTCAACGACAAATGTGGACCAAATCCGCACGAAGTATGGCCCCAACAATTGCATCACGACTTCTTCAAGATTCGTTGGTCCAGTTGACTCAGATGCTGTCCCGTTGTCGTTTCAGTGTGTGCATCATGCAGGGCGATAGCTTACTACAAAGAGGTTTGAGATCTACTTCCTCTTTTCCGAAATCATAAGGAAGGTTTCTATCTGAGTGTCATGGTCGTCGTGCAAGGTGTAGTTGATATTTCTAAGTTCAGAATGTCTTGCTGCAGTTTCTCTGCCATCTTGGCCATCTCAGCTGAGGCTTTGACTAGAGTCTAGAGGTTTTACAGGCTGGAATGTCCAACCCATGACATCCGCTTTCCGGAGCTCGGTGAGAGCTGTCTTTGGCTTCATTTTCTGCAAACAGGGTCGGGAGTTCAGCGGGCGGATCGGGGCTGACATTCCGCTCTTCTTTCACTTGTTGAAGCCAGTCGACTTGAGAAGTTCGAGGTTTAAGTGGCAATAGCACCCACCGAGTCGACTCAGAGTGTGGTGTGAGTTCAGCTTCAGCGGAGCTCAGGGACGGTGTGACTCCGCCGCACAAAGTGCTTTCTACATGCTAGCTCGCACAGTGGTGTCGGCCCTTTGCAACATTGTTTGATTGGGCGCCGTCAGAATGTCAGGCTCTGGCCACCCGACCCTGCAAAGAATGCCTTTCACTCGTCCACAAGAGATGCATTGAGCGTTTGAGTGGCAAGAGTCCATCGGATACGAGCTGCTTACAGGGTTGCCTACCGCAGCATGGCCAGAGTTCAAGATTGCATATCTGGTGTGAATCAGCAGGAGTTTCCGTCGGCTGTATCTGGCTTGTACATGCACCTGGCTGATTAAGGGCGAAGCTTGTTGCTCTTTACGGCATGGAACCCTTCAAGCAAAACGCAGCAGAGGAAGTTACGAAGTTACGGACCATTTTGGCCGGCTGCGCTGAGAGTCCGCAAATCTCAGCAATCCAAGTGCGCTTTTGGAAGTGCAGTATAGAAACCCCGGCATTTGCCTTGTGCAACCTGGAGGCTGGGCACCAAAGTGGTGACTTTTAAATGCTCTCCGGGCCAAACGTGCTGGGACATCCCGAGCCTACTTTTTTGTGCGGAAGTGCGCTACCGGCGCTTCCCAAGCGAGGACGTCACCGGTCCGGTCCGGTGACGGTATGACACCATGCGCAGCCCTGCTGAGAAGCACACCCGTACATGGCACGCGCCTGTTTTTGTGGTGAGGTCAGCCTAACCATGTGTGACACCTCGTTTCAGACCATATTTCCAGAGCCACTGCCATGTCATTGAGCTTCAGTTTCCAGTCATGGCTGCGCAAGATTCCGATTTGCGCAACTTATTGAGCTCACTGCTTCAAAGCTATGACAAGTGGCCGCCGGGCTTTCACAACACTCAGTAGGAGAAAAATATGAAGAAACACGCAAGCTGCCTTGAAAGCGCGGTCTCGGCTTCTTTGTTTGGACCGCATCAGGTCACGGGCTGAGAGCCGATCAAACAAAGACTGGCTTTGAGCAGGGGGGCTCCCCTCTGCGAACACACTCCAAGACTCTACGAAGACACTTTCGCTCAGAACCACTGCCGAGCGCCGCATGCTCGCGCATGCCCACGCGGCAGGGACACCCGGAGTGGTTTTTCGAGCTAATTGACCTACTCGAGCCCCTTTGCTGGGAGAGCTGGCAGAACCGTTGAGCTAAGGCTCAAGGGCATATGCTTTCGCCAGAACAGAATCACTTCCAGGTGCCATCATCTAGGATTCTGCCCCTAGCCTGTGTACGCCGGTCTGGTACGGGATTATCAAAATGCAAAGCATGCTGGTACCAGTGGGTTCAGGAGCACAGCGACTTGAGCCATCTGCCAGCAAATTCTGTGAGTGGTCCCTTGAACTGCACGTTGGCGCGATTATGCACGGATCCTGTTCGTTCAAGGCCTACAGAAGCCTGCCATCCTTCTTGCTCGTTGATTTGGAGGAGTTGATGTGGCTTAAAGTCTTAGAGGGTTGTACTTGTACTGATGGCAGGTACCATTGCCAAAGTCGTAGCATGGTAGGACCGCGCAGGGCCAGCTCGGAGCTTGTATCATTGCGCACAGCTCTTCAGTCGAAGCTTGGCGAAGCCCTGCGCGTTTGCTACGAGATGTGATGTTATGCAGCGGCTTGGAGCACGAATTCGACCTGTGAACAGAGCCTCGCGATTTGTGGGTCCTGCGACTGCGACCAGAAGCCGTCTTGAGTCTTAGTCTTCGTGGCAGAGATTCTGACTACTGGGGTTGGAAAGGAAACAACTGCGCTGTAGGTGTCCGAGAAACAAGCTGCGCAGGGATCGCATTGGTGGTCGTACAGTTTCACGGTGCAGGACTCGCACGCTGCTGCCAGTGTTTTTTCGTTTTGAGCAGCTGCAGATAGATGGCCTGTGCAATCTTACAAACTCGCCCCCTCGGACTGCATCGTTCTGTGCGCCAAGTCATGCCCCTGCATATGTTTAAAGCTTGACGTCGTGTGTCCCGCACTCACGCGTAGATGTGCCTGCGCCAGACTTGAAGCAGCTGCTCCTTTGCCCCTTCTCCTATGGAGCAATTCGAAGTCTCCGGTCGTGGCACTGGTTGGAACACCGTCACAGAACTGGCCTCAGAGTCGCCTCAGCAAGACTCCTTTACGCTAGCACTTCGGATTTGAACATGCCGGAGTTCGATTCATTCCTCGGCCGATTCTTCACACAGTTGAGCAGCAAGAAGCAGCCGTGCGGAAAAAATGCTTTGATGGACACAGGAGCTGTATTCAGTTTTTAGATGATCGTGCCAGCAAGTGAGCGGTAAGGAGCAGTGTAGGCTGGACTGGTCGAATTCAAGACACCCAAGCCGAAACGCAATAGCTTGGGAAAGTTAACCATCGTTCCGACAGCTGCGGCCAGGCGCCCTGCGTTGTCGACTCCGTCAGCAGACGTCAGAGCCTTGAAAACAGTCGTTGCGGTGGAGGCAACATCAGTACTTGGAGCCGCCAGCACGCCAAATCGTGGCAGTAGCAACGGATACGATACGCTTAAAAAATGCATTCGTGGCATGATTAGTTAGTGGCTACCAGAAGCACCTTGACAATACTGACGATAAAGCACCACACAGACAATGAAGATAACGATCGCGATAGTCGTTGAAGAAGGGCTATCCCAGCCCACTTGCCCTGTTTAGTGAACACCGATACGTGTGTATAGTGCTTCGAAAGAGTGAGAGGCCCGCTCTTTTTTGAGGTGGACCCATGTCCTCGACTTCCGCTCTGTTGGAGCAATAGATCTGCCTCTTCAGGCTGCGCTTATGAAGGGAGACGACAGTGCTATCACAGAGTATTAAGTACAATGCATACTTCAGTGGGTGTGAGCAACTTGATGACCTTGCTTATGACTTCCGCAGCCGATTCCGAATCAGACTAGAATGGCTCGCCCCCGTTATCGACACAATGAGCCGATGCCGCCTGCGAAAGGCCGAGGACGTGCTCGCTCCGATCGCTCCCCGCCGGGCGAGAGCCGCGTAAGGCATTTACGCGAGGAGTTCGAACGAGAGCGCTCTCGTTCACACTCGCGAAACCTCCGCCCATCACAAACGCAGCTACGTGACGCAATTGAGGATCTTAATCGGCAGATCCTCGATCTTGACATTCCGTCAGATCATTTGCAGACACAGTGGCACAGGATACTGTACTTGCGCGAGCGACTTGTCAGCCATCGGCTTAACAAAGCTGCGAGAAGAACTACTAGTGTTTCTCAATATCAGCAACCTCCTGCACATCCCCTGAAGGCCCCAGCCAGAGATTGCCGGCAGAACAACTGGATAGGGAAACTGCAGGAGCTGTACGCGAAGGCGACGCAAAGACCTATCCAAAAGGGTGACATTCTATTCAGTACCCAGGAAGTGACCACGCCAACTACGCCAACTTCGAAAGAGTTTCGATCCGTCGTGGAGGCGCCCAATTTTCGATACCCGTACCATGGGGAACTGTGTCACACAAAGAAACTGGCCGAACATTCAGCCGCGTATGCTGCCATTTGTTCCGAGTTTCCTGAGTTCGATCCTCGCCAACCTGAGCGGACAAAACAACAACAACGCTTCAAGAGCAACTTGCACGAGGCCGGGCCGGGTGGCAAAACTGTGCCAATGCAACTGTTTGGGACCTTCTTCCGCCACCATCTTTCGTTTTAGCAAATCCTGGTCATGTTCATGTATGCTTTTGCAAACATAGAAGATGTGTCATGGGTCGTTCAACGTTTGCATATAGGAAGGGATGCGCGTGACTCCATTGCCAACTCGCTCAAGCCTTGCTGCAGGAGGTGAAGGCGCGAGTTGACCGAGAGATCACTCGCGAGGATTTACCCTATGACACACAAAGCTTTGAGCAAAGCGGGTCCAACGCCTGGCTGTACCGGTCCACAGTTACCTTGCGGTGCCTCGACGGCTCAACGTACACCGGCCACTGGCAGCCGACGCGCAAGCTCGCGGAGCAGTCTGCTGCCGAGGCCTGGGCTTGAGGAAAGCGGTTGCTAAGTTATGACAGAACTGGACTAGCCTCTACATTTGGTAGCCATGCATGTCCGTAGAAGCATAGACTGAACCTGTGGCTGTACGACTCTGTTCGCGTTCGGCCAAGGAGGCTCTCGCGGCCCTTCCCGACGCGAAGAGAGACGAATGGAAGGACCGACGCGAGAGTGTCCCGAGACGTCCGAGTTTTCTTCTGTTGCTATTCTAATTCACTCGAACCATCTCGAACCCTCGAAGTCGTCGATCGCATCTCTTTTCTCCCCACGCCATCTCCAGGCGAAGCACTATCATAGCACCGTCGCTGCACCAACTGAGGGCTCATGTGACGAACCGGGCAGGCAGCAAGATTTTAGCATCAAGTTGCATAGGTATGAAGTTTCAATGTCAATGTCACGAGACCCAGGGAATTTCATTTGGCGAGAGATGCTTCTTGTACGCGGTTCGTGACGGCGAAGAGCGCAGGATGGAAGCTGCGCGCCTGTACTGTTGCATGAGATGCGCACATTGCATTCCGAAACAAGATTCGGTGTGTCAATTCTTGGGGCCCCGTGCTTTCGGAACATGCAGGTGCGTCGCATCTCTCATAGAGGGGGCAATGTTCCACGTGCCACTGCTGATCTCAGAAAAGCCCGTGGAACAGGCATGAGCGCACTCGACTCTCGGCGGTCTTCTCACCACAGTCGACCCCGCCACAGGAAGACATGCAGGGACACCCGAGATCTTCGCAGACAAGCATGGGAATTCCTTCCATTGGAATGGTGGAAGGAGAAAAAGCCCGGGAGTTCATGCACCAAGACAACGGTGTGAATCGTCGCCCTGCAGGAAGTCATGCGTCAAGAGACGATTGTGATATGATTCGGTGTAAGCTGGACGCGGTTCAACGGTCGCATCGATCCTTCGCAATCTACCTCTGACTGAGACCTTTGACACTGAGCACGATGGCAAATCGCAGCTACATCGGAACTTTGAGCCTCTTGAAATGTTGACCTCTCTCAGCTTGGCACGCAGTTAACTCTGGACGCTGAGTAGATCATCTCCCGAGTCCTTGGGTTGCGAGCCTCGACCATCGCTGAAGCCCACTGCCTTTCAGGACATGAAGCGACAACAAAGAAGACAGAAAGCACGTGAGCGACGTGAGAGCAAGGTGGGCTTGCGTTCATTGCAGACTCCATGCTTTGCAGGTTCTTTGCAAGGAAGGCGACGACATCCAGACATTCAGCACACCAGGAAGAAGTAGTGCATGTAGGGCAAAGTCCTCAGCAGCGCACCTCTGACAACCTCGTGACTGAGTGGGTCGGCAGCACGTCCCGAGACAAACTCCGATTCGAGCCTCGCCACCCCAGACCTGGCCCATCTCTCCAGGCCAACGTGCAGAAGTTCGCCCCAAGAGAGGATGAGGAGGAGTGCCTTATCCGCCTTATGGCAAGTCTGCGATGCATGGTTCGCCAAAAGCTTTTCTCTGAGGTCCAGCTACAGCTCCGAGTCAAGCAGCTCGGCGGCGGTTGGTAGCTGCTTCTGAGCTGCCAGGTTTTGCTTGAGGACACGCCTATAAATCGCCGTTATCAACGCCAAGCAAAGCACTAGACCCCGGTCTTGGTTCTGGCCGACTGTCTAGGTCCAGGTTGAAGCTTTGTAGCTGCATGCTCTCACCACTGTCTAGTCTTCAGATATCCGCTCTTTGAGACAACGTTGCAGGTGATGAAGGGGAGGAAGAAGAAGATGGACTTCCAGTAACCGTGGATAGGTATGGCGGGTATGGGTGATGCTTGACCACTGCCGGAGAAAAGCTCGACACGATTTCGTAAGTTCTGCAACAAAACTTGAGAATTCTCCTCACGTCGCCGTGCCTCGAGGAAGCGCCTTTCTCGCTGCGTCCTCCATGGACCTCGTCCTGTCGCCCGGCGCAGGACCTTTTTCTAACAGAGCGGGCCCAGGCCCAGGTCACAACCGAGTTCTTCGAGTCTTCGACTTGTCAGAACGTGAGAACATCGAAGCTTCGATCGTGCGTTTCCAAGATTCCTCACGTGCAGCTACGACATGCGCAAGCTGTTAGGCCTAATTGATGCTAGAAGTCGCTCTTTCATGACTGACCGCTGGATTCACGACTGCTGCTCGTAGGAATTTCTGGAGTTTCTGCCGATTATCTTTGATTTCTTGCGGCGGGCCTTGGCTTGCTTCCCTGCGAGAGAAGTTTCAGATTTTTGTTTGGCTGCCCGTGTGGCCACCGCACTGAGCGTTGCGAATCTTTGACCGATAAAGATGAAGCACCGCCAGGCACGCTGCTCTGGTGCGGGGTCCGCCTGCCACTTTTTAGCACGGTGACGGTCTAGGCAACATGGTGCAAGCTCGCTGAGCTAGGAAATTTTGGCATCGGCCGGTTGACAGTGTTTCTGCGTAGAGATGCCGGTGTGGCTTTTGCTTGGCTCCTTCGCTAAACTCCCAGATAGTCAGACACAGCCGGAGCGGCGCAGGCTCAAGTCAGGGCGTCAAGCTTCACGCATGGACTTCGTACTGCTTTCGGACTGCATTTAATTTCTCGTCTGCTCATCGGAACAATGATTTGGCTGGCACCTTCAGCAGAGGGAGCATGTTGTCGTAAAGTCTACCAGTTACTAGCCGATTGTGCCTGGGGCTGTGGCCACGTGCAGGTCTCGGCAGGACTACAGACTGACACAGAGACCCAGTTGCTTTAGAGGGCCGTGTCGGGAGTGTCCCCGATGCCAACCCTCGGCTTTCTTGCATGGCGCAGCTACAAAGAAACTCCATGACGATTGCTGCAGGATCTTGCACGGCATGGATAAAGAGGACGAGAGCTTCTTGGGAAGCATCGTAGCCGGAGGGGCCCCGCAGGTGAGTCACGGCTCGTAAGATGCATTTAAAGACTGCTCCGGTGTTGCTGCTTTTCCTCCATGATGCTATCACTGATGGTTCTGTTGTGCAAGCTGCTCGCGACTCGGTAGAGTTTGCGAGGAAACATGCAAAGTCCTGCTATGGAACCGAGGCATCTTTCTGGCGGAGCTCGTTCGGCCAGAGGATGGCCAGATCCTGAGAACAGAGGGCCAGATAATGCCAGATACTTCTAGGGCCATCCCTTCGATCAGAGAAAGTTGCAGCTCGGAGCTGTGCGGGATCTGGGAGAGATGGGGGACGGCGGGGTTGAAGTTAAAAAGACGTCTCGGCGTTCAATGCAGTAGCTGATTAGCTTGTCTGCTGTCTTCGGGCAAGTTCGTGCATCCCGGGCAGAGGCAGGAGGTGCAGCAAATACTAAGATTACTATATTTGCTTTGCGCGCGGTACAGCCACACATGCCTTCACCTGTTTTCAGAGATGAGGAAATCGAATTCCTTTTTCTGTGGTCCTTGCTGACCTCGTCATTGAAAAGGTTTTAACGCCGTCTTTGAGGCCCTGGAGAAAGAGGCCTGCTTCATTGCACTTTGGTGCATTGGTTGTAGGCTGCGATTCTTCGCCTTATGTGAGCGGTCGAGCGAGAGCTGGCTGCAAGTTGCTGGCAATGCAGGCAATTGGTCTGTGCGTGCGACGAGTCTTTCCAGTTTCAACACGACGGTGCTTCCTTACCTCAGGTGTTCCCCGAAAGCCACCGCAAGAATGCTGGATTCCCAGTGTTCTGAAACAGCTTTCAAGTTGAACGACAAGTTCCGTTCGGCAGGAGATTCAGGAGGGTTGTCTGTGCATGCATGCAGCGCCTGGTGCTCTCCACACATCTGTTGAACCAGAAGGCCACCAGGTTGTGCCAACAACGTTACCCGAAAGATTGGAGGGCTGGAATACTGAGGTCCGTGAGGAAGGCGATGACACAAAGATGCTAGGGATGTGCCTGGGTGTGACCAGCCACTACACGAAGGCCAGAGTTTACGGCAGGCAGTGAGGCCAGTGCTATATACATGTTGAGGATCGTCAGACAAGAAGCAAGAATCGCACCGTTGGACAGCTTGTGCTCCACGATCCAGGGGGCTCAAGTGTCAGCGGCGACCCGTCATAGGCGCGCCGCTGCTAAGGCTTGCAATTTCAGCATCCGGTCAAGTATAATCGCTTGTCGTTTCCACAAGGCATCCAAGAACCAGGCCTGATTGCAAGCCACAGCGGCAAATACGGGACTCGTCCTTGCCTTCTCTGTGGGCTTGCAACCGCGTTCTTCTTGTCAGCATTCTTCTGCAGGCCCATGGCCCCGAGTCTTGAGTTGAAGTGCGTCTGTGGGGGACCTCTTCGTTACGGTTTGCGATTGCCAGAAGAGAGACAAGAGATACAAGAGACTCCGAGTGACCTGCTGTTGTGAAGCTTATGATCTGTGTTCGAGACCCTGGAAGGCCAGGCCTTGCCAAGCTGCTTTGCAGCTTTGCCCGGAAGGCCTTGCTTCCATTGCTCAACTGTGCTTCATACAGGCTTGTCAAGGCCTTTTGGACTTTAAGGTTGTCATTTCGTCTATTGATTGTCCATTGCTCATAACCGAATCTAGAAGCATTTAGAGGTCGCTCCCTATTCCTTGGAGTTTCGGCCAGCGCGACAAGAAGCCTTTTTTGGAATTGGAGTATGTCCAACGAGGAAATTCCAGACTTCCACTTCACTTCGATTCAGGTCAACAAGGACAGCTCTCATGTGTGTCACATGTGTCCTGCGGTGTTACAGGTGATGGCTGACTGAGCTGTCCCATGCAGTGATAGCTTGGGCATTGAGCTTGCTGCGCTCTGCAGTTTCGATATGTTTCAACTACAAAGGGAACGGCAGCTGGTGCCTGAGGACTACCAGGCTGCCATGCATGTGGACAAAAACAATCTGGGACCCTCCTGGATTGTTGGCTTAGGCGGGAGGGCAAATGAGGTAGGGATGTTGAGGGCTTGCAGCGCAGAACAGTAGTGGTGGTAGTAGTAGTCGTCGTCGTATTATTAGTAGTAGTAGTAGGAGGAGGAGGAGGAGGAGTAGCAGTAGGAGTAGCAGTAGCAGTAGCAGTAGCAGTAGCAGTAGCAGTAGCAGTAGCAGTAGCAGTAGCAGTAGCAGTAGTAGTACCAGTACCAGTACCAGTACCAGTACCAGCACCAGCACCAGCACCAGCACCAGCACCAGTACCAGTACCAGTAGCTAGCAGTACCAGTACCAGTAGCTAGTAGCTA